AGCGCGCAACTACAGCGTCGTACAGTGTCCTAGCAGTTCTGTGCTGGCTGAAATGCGCGCGCTCAGTAATCGGCAGGTGGTTCCTGATAGCTAGGCGTGCAGCAGCATCACGAGTCTGCCACTGGGAGCGTTCGAGAGCAGGAGCATCAGCAGCAGGAGTAACGGCAGTGCCAGAGACGTAATCAAACAGGGAAACGCCCTCTTTGGCATCAGTCAGAAGGAACAGCTGGAGATCGTCTAACCATACAGCGAACTCGATGGGACGACCGTCAGGCTCGAACGCTAGAACGTTAGGCGTCGTCATATTGGCTTAAGGCAGGAGGCAGCAGGCAGCAGGCAGAGGCAGCAGGCAGCAGGCAGAGGCAGCAGGCAGCAGACAGGAGGCAGGAGGCAGAGGCAGCAGGCAGCAGGCAGCAGGCAGCAGACAAGAGGCAGCAGGCACCAGGTAGGAGGCAGGAGGCAGGAGGCAGGAGGCAGAGGCAACAAGCAGCAGGCAGGCGGCAGCAGGCAGTAGGCAGGAGCGGCCTAAGGGCTGCGTGTGGCTGCTGGCTGCGCGTGGCGGCTTGCTGCGCGAAGCTGCAGGCTACGCGTGGCTACGGGCAGCTCGCGCGGCCGCGGGCTGCGTGCGGCAACGGGCTGCGTGGGCTGCGGGCTGCGCGTGGCGACGGGCAGCGCGCGCGGCTGCGAGCTGCGCTGGGCGACGGGCCGCACGCGCGCGGCTGCGGGCTGTTCGCGAAGCTGCGGGCTGCGCTGGGCGACGGGCCGCGCTGGCGTGGCCTAACCAGGCTGCGCGCGGGCGGCGTAAGGGGCGCACAGGCGGGGCCGAAACGGGCTGCGCGGGCTCCTGAAGCGGCGCTCGCGGAAAAAAAAAAGGACCGCCCGAGGCGCGCGCGGTCAGCCGAGGCGCGCGCGGGCAGCCGAGGTGCGCGCGGGCACTAGACAAGGCAGGCAGGTACGGTGGGCCCTAATCCTAGGTCCTAAGGACCTATGCTCTAGATGCCATGTTAGAATCCTAGGCAAAGAGTTGTATTGGAATGTCGAGAGTTTGGTACAAGAATGAAACCTAAGGGGTTGTACCCCACAGTGAGTACCCCACTAAAGCCTATCTAAATAACAACATATACACATATGTTTGACAACACAAACAAGCCATTTTATCTCAATGGTCTAGTGGTTGGGATTCAGACATGGTATGAGAGCGAAGGTCTCGGGTTCGAGTCCCAGTGTGTGCACTTCGGGCATTTCAATGTGGGGTGGGGGCGTCAGATTGGTGATCCCCGATTGATCATAGGGGAGGGTTACATGCTCGTTGTCCTGGAGGGTTATGGGCGCACTCACCGGCTTCACAAACAAGCCATTTTATCCCAATGTTCTAGTGGTTGGGATTCTGACAAAGGCATCTGGATGTGGGCCAATGAGAAGACCACAATTACAGATGCTAGATTGATTGTGCCAGCAAAATGCGAAAACTCATTCGCGAAGGTTTTGTTTGTTTTTTTAGCTGAGCACAGTATTACAACATGTTGGCATTTCATTACAATTGTAAAAATTGCGCCCTTATGATAAGACCCGGGTCTTATAATATTTGTACTATTTAATAAGACCCCCCACATTTTTTTTTGAAATCAATAATAGACCCTAGGGTCTTTTATCCGGGGGATTACGGTACCCCCTGATTGAGCATATCCAGCCCGGCCCAAACCTTCCGTACCAATAGCAGCACACTTGCCAGTGGGAAGGGGAAAATCATTGAGGTTCTCAATTTCTTAGAAGTTTTGCATAATGAAAGGTTGAATTCAGATTTCCGGCTGCACCTCCTTGTCAGCTACACACCAGGGCCTCAGATTCACTTTTAGGGTCGTCGACCCATCAGGCTACCTTTGTGTAGAAACCCTGATTGACAGTGTTCCTAAAAAAAAAAGCCTGAAATATCAGTGTTGCCTTTGAAAAAAGGCTGATGCATCAGTGTTCAATAATATAAAAAGGCTGTTATGATTAGAAATCTCTATTTTATGTACTAAGTCAGTAGCAGCCTTCCGAAACATTGCTAAGCTAACATGCCTCATGAGCCATGCTATCATCACTGCCCTTAGCCTTTGGTTCTTCTCTCTCCTCCTCAGCTTGGGACACCAGTACGTGTCAGAATTATATTCTTATACCTGCATGTAGTTCTAGCTGTAGTGTAGATAATAACTTTATAGGTGGTGCACCTCTTTGTTTGCTATATGTACCCTAGTGCTATAGTGAACATCATTCCCATTCTCCTCTCTGCTTGGCACAAACCACCTCGACTCCCTTGGCCTAGGCTACTAAGCCTAGGCCCTCACTTTTTCCTATGATTCTAACATGGTATTAGAGCCTGTTAAGTCCTGGCCTGTGGGCCAGCCTCACGCTTCCGCCGCTGTTTTTCCGGTCGCGCGCCTCGGGCGCGTGGCGATTTTCGTTCTGTCCCGCGCCCGGGTGGCGCGTGACGTATTTTCTGCCCGTCACGGATCCGCCCCTGGCGCCCGCGACGGTGCTCTGCCTGCCTGCCCGTCGTGCGCCCCGTGGCGCGCGACGGTGCCCTGCCTGCCCGTCGTGCGCCCCGAGGCGCGCGACGGTGCCCTGCCTGCCCGTCGTGCGCCCCGTGGCGCGCGACGGTGCCCTGCCTGAGCCGCCGCGGACCCACCCCTGGCGCCCGCGACGGTGCCCTGAGCCGCTGCGGACCCGCCCCTGGCGCCCGCGACGGCGCCCCTGCCTCACATGCGCCTGCACTCGGTGCAGCCGCCCCTGCCCTACCCGCGCCTGCCCTCGGAGCAGCCGCCCCTGCCTCACCCGCGCTTGCCCTCGGAGCAGCCGCCCCTGCCTCACATGCGCTTGCACTCGGTGCAGCCGCCCCTGCCCTTCCCTGTGCGCCACCCCTCTGTGGCCGTGGGGCGCCACCTCCCCCCCCCCCCCCCCCCCCCCCCCCCCCCCTCCTCCTTCTTCTCCCTGCTGCGAGTGCAGCCATGGGGGGGAGGGTATGGAGGTGGCGGGTATGGGGGTGATGGGTGGTGTGTTTCCCTTCCCCTCCTCCTCCTTTCGTTCCCACTGCTGCAGCTGCCGCTGGGGGGAGGGTGTGCGGGTGTGGGGGAGCCAGGGGAGTGGCACTGGGGTGGCGGGTGTGAGACCAACCAGCCGCCCCTCCTGAAGTGGGGGGGGGGGGAGGAGAGTAAAGGGGTGGCAGGAGTGCCTGCCCCTTTGCTGCTGTACCTGCTCTGTTGCCTTATCTGCTGTTGCTGTTTTCTCTGTCTGTGGTGTACCTCTGCAGGTTGTGTTCTGCACTTAGCTATTCCTGCATGCAGTTACGGGGGGATGTCAGAATTATATTCTTATACCTGCATGTAGTTCTAGCTGTAGTGTATATATTAACTTTATAGGTGGTGCACCTCTTTGTTTGCTATATGTACCCTAGTGCTATAGTGAACATCATTCCCATTCTCCTCTCTGCTTGGCACAAACCACCTCGACTCCCTTGGCCTAGGCTACTAAGCCTAGGCCCTCACTTTTCCCTATGATTCTAACAGTACGTGATAGTGCTTTTTGACACACACACCCCGGCTTCACTTCTGCTTGCGACCCATACACGTTGAAGCTGCAGGGGCAGGGTTGGGGGGAGGAACCGGATTGACAGGCAGGGTGAGGCAGGGAAAGAGAGAAAAGGAGGGAGAGAGGAGGGAAGGCTGGCACGGTTGGGGGGGAGACGACCGGGGGAGAGAGGGAGTGGACGGAGTGCGGGGTAAAGGGAGCGGGGGAATGGACGGCGGGCGCGCGGGTCATGCGCGGGTCATGCCGTCGCGCATCACGACGCTCTGCGCACCACTCGCGGCGCAGATGGCATTTCAACCGCGGTTCGTGCTGGCGACGAGGCAGCCTTCGGTCATCGCCATTAGCACGAAAAACTACGCGTCGTCGAGTCGTAGCGGGCCTACGACACCGTCGGGAATTGCCACGTGGCCGACGACCATCTCGCAGCATGCGCTGCGGATCGCGTCGAACGGGAGCGATGTGTTCGGCGAGACAAGAAGAGGTTCGGCGGCGCTCGCGATGGGTTCGATTCCCAACAGCCCGCCGTTTCTGGTGCTGATGGAGCCATGTATTAGTGCATATGAGAAAGCATGAGAGGAATCGGGCTGAGAGGGAGGGAGAGAGAAACAGGAGGAAAAGTAACACGAGAGATTGGATTGGAGGGAATGGGAGCATCAATGCTTGCCAGCACAGCCAACGGTGTAGGAACCCTCGCAGCCCTAAAGCACCACATGGTGGCCACAATCCGATTAGCCAACGCTTTATGCTGGAGCGGAACTGCCCAATGGAGTGCTGGCACCGTAGGAATCTGAGATTCCCTGTAATCGCGGGCAAATCCACACGGAACAAGTAAGAATTGGTTTCAGTGTTAGTTTCGTTACAACGTTGTGGAATCACTGTACTTGGGAAAAAAAGTCTGAAATTTCAGTGTGGCCTAACAAAAAAGGCTGAAAGATCAGTCCCACAAAAATCTCAACACTGATTTTTCAGTGTAGGTAAAAAAAGGACTGCCAAAATCAGGAATTTCAGGGTTTTTTTCCTGATATCTGAGGCCCTGCTACACACCCACATCACAGCACAACCCAATTGGTTTGTGAGATTTCTCAAAAGCCGAGACATGGTGGGCAAAGCCCTCCTTCCGGTTGCACCTCTTTGTCAGCTACATACTCAAAACACAACCCAGTTCTTCAAAAAATGGTTCACAGAAGTGATCATGCCCCCTCCTTCCTCCCTCCTAGCACATTTCAAAACACTGCACATGTCTGAAGTACATCCTTTCACCAAGCACCCTGAAACTTCCCGGACTGTACTTGGTGCATTGCAATTTGCACTGCAAGTAACTACAAAAATCACTGCTTCTCTTCCCTTCTTATTGTCTGCACGTTCCGAGGAGCTTCCCTTCTCACTTCCGTTTCCCCCCTCCCTCGCAAGCGCAATGATGTTTCTCCCGTAATTCACTTGCCTTCCCCTCCTTCCTGCGAGCTGAGATCCCTCGCGAGTGCAAGCAGGCCGGCAGCAGCAAAGGCAGAGAGCAGGCATGAGCCATAGCCCATGGCAAGGAGGGCCCCTCGCAGGGACTGGTGGAGAAACGAGGGGAGGGAAGAGGGGGAGAGGGGGAGGGAGAGTGCTAAAGGCAGAGAGCAGGCATGAGCCTTAGCCCATGGCGAGGAGGGCTCCCCGCAGGGACTGGTGGGGAAACGAGGGGATGAGGGAAGGGTGGGGGTAAGGAGATAGCATAACTTTATGAGGGGGAGCATTGAAGGCAGAGAAGAGGCATGATGAGCCATAGCGCAGGACAAGGAGGGCACCACGCAGTGACTGGTGGGGCAATGAGGAAAGGAGGGAAGGGGGGAGGAGAGAGCATAAGATTCCGAGGGAGGGTTTAGGGTTGCAGACAGCAGGGAGTGTTGAGGGTAGAGGGGAGGCATGCGCCATAGCCCAGGACGAGGAGGGCACCATGCAGTGACTGGTGGGGCAAGGAGCGGAGAGGGGGGAGAATGAGACAGCATCTGAGACGGTTGAAAAGTGAAAGGAGGCATGAGCCCCCTGGGGAGTGCAAGCAGGCCGGCAGCAGCAATGGCAGAGAGCAGGCATGAGCCATAGCGCAGGACGAGGAGGGCACCATGCAGTGACTGGTGGGGCAAGGAGCGGGGTGGAAAAAAGGGAATTTGGGAAGGAATTGGGGAGCAGGTGAAGGGCCGCGACACGAGTGAGGGAGGCAGGTGAAGGGCCGCGACACGAGTGAGGGAGGCAGGTGAAGGGCCCCGACACGAGTGAGGGAGGCAGGTGAAGGGCCGCGACACGAGTGAGGGAGGCAGGTGAAGGGCCGCGACACGAGTGAGGGAGGCAGGTGAAGGGCCGCGACACAAGTGAGGGAGGCAGGTGAAGGGCCGCGACACGAGTGAGGGAGGCAGGTGAAGGGCCGCGACACGAGTGAGGGAGGCAGGTGAAAGGCCGCGACACGAGTGAGGGAGGCAGGTGAAGGGCCGCGACACGAGTGAGGGAGGCAAGTGAAGGGCCGCGACACGAGTGAGGGAGGCAGGTGAAGGGCCGCGACACGAGTGAGGGAGGCAGGTGAAGGGCCGCGACACGAGTGAGGGAGGCAGGTGAAGGGCCGCGACACGAGTGAGGAAGGCAGGTGAAGGGCTGCGACACGAGTGAGGGAGGCAGGTGAAGGGCCGCGACACGAGTGAGGGAGGCAGGTGAAGGGCCGCGACACGAGTGAGGGAGGCAGGTGAAGGGCCGCGACACGAGTGAGGGAGGCAGGTGAAGGGCCGTGACACGAGTGAGGGAGGCAGGTGAAGGGAAGTGCGACCGCTGAGGCAACGCAGAGCTCAGAAATCGCAAGGCTGCACAACACTCACGAACGCGAGTGTGAGGGCGTTGCCATTGGCACAGGCCAGAGAGCTCTCGCCCACTGCCTGCTGCCCTGCCACCACCTGCCAGCTCACCACCAGTCACTGAGCAAAGCACCTTCGCCTTCCAACAAGGGGCTCTGTACTCACAAGCGCGAGTGTGAGAGTGTTGCCGTTGCCACAGGCTAGAGAGCTCTCGTTCACTGCCTGTAGCCCTGCCACCACCTCACACACTGCACTCACACGAGAATCATTCTCAGTTCACTCACGAGTGCGAGTGTGAGAGCCTTGTCGTTGGCATACGCTAGAGAGCTCTCGTCCACTGCCTGTAGCCCTGACACCAGCTGCCAGCTCACCGCTCTGTGTGGGAGAAAGTGGGGATGGGAGAGGAGTGGACATGGGAGAGGGGCGGGTTGGGGGATACGGAGAAGCGAACTGTGGAAACGAGGAGGAAAAAGGGAGGATATAAGAGTGAAATAAGCAGGAAGAAAGGGCGGGGGGGAAGGAAACGCAACTGAAAGGGCGTGCGAGGAAAAGAACGGGAGACTCACGCAAAGGCTGCAGCAACGGCCGCGCCTGTGAGTGCCTTGGAGGGCGTGATATCCACTGTGAGAGGACCGAGCTGGAAGAGAGGGAGGGAGGGAGGGGAGGGAGGGAGGGGGGAGCAGAGTGATTATACAGGGTGCTTGATGCAGAGTGATTATACAGGGTGCTTGATGCAGCAAGGCAGCAGCAAGGCAGCAGCAAGGCAGCAGCAAGGCAGCAGCAAGGCAGCAGCAAGGCAGCAGCAAGGGCAGCAGCAAGGGCAGCAGCAAGGCAGCAGCAAGGCAGCAACAAGGCAGCAGCAAGGCAGCAGCAAGGCAAGCAGCAAGGCAGCAGCAAGGGCAGCAGCAAGGGCAGCAGCAAGGGCAGCAGCAAGGCAGCAGCAAGGCAGCAGCAAGGCAGCAGCAAGGCAGCAGCAAGGCAGCAGCAAGGGCAGCAGCAAGGGCAGCAGCAAGGGCAGCAGCAAGGGCAGCAGCAAGGGCAGCAGCAAGGGCAGCAGCAAGGGCAGCAGCAAGGGCAGCAGCAGCGCCTGTGAGTGCCTTGTTTGGCGTGACATCCACTGTTAGAGGACCGAGCTGATGAGAGGACGGGGAGGAGAGAGGGGAGAGGAATAGAGGGTGCTTGAGTCACCAAGGCAGCAGCAGCGGGTGTGAAGTGCACTGTGAGGGCGTGAAGTGCACTGTGAGGGCGTGAAGTGCACTGTGAAGGGACAAGGTTGATTTGATGCGGGGGCGGGGAGGAGAGAGTGGGAGAGGGGATAGGAATTGAGGGTGCTAGAGACATCTCTAAATTCACAAAGTGCTATCTCAAGCACCCTCTATGAATGAATGATTAAACTTGCCAAGTGACTATATTGCCAAGTGACTATATTGCCAAGTTCAATCATTCATTTCATTCTGTACTTGGCAAACAGAAAAGCCACCTTGAAGGTTCCAACAGGGGAAGGATCGAATTTGGAGAACTTTTGGGACGCCACGAACGACAACAAGCACACCTTGAAGGTTCTAACAGCGTCGAATTTGGAAGCGCTGTCATCATTGCACCCCGCTGCTACCGCCTCCCCTGCTGCCGCCATTGCCTTGCCGAGCTGACACGAGAGGGGGTTGATGTGATCTCGGCATAGAGAGTAGGGATAAAGAGGGATGCTCTTTAGGGTTGATGAGACGAGAGGGTCAACCCCCACCTTGGGTCGTCATTGGCATGGAGTGGAAGGATAGAGAGGAGGGATAGAGAGGAGGGATAGAGAGGGGATGCTCTTTAGGGTTGATAACACAAGAGGGTATGATGTGTCAGAAAAGGGAATGGGGAGGGAAGGAGGGATGAGAGAGGAAAGGGGAGAGATGGTCAGCTCCAGGGGCGAAAATGGCGAAAGGACTATGCGCTGCTAACCTGGATAAACCTTTGCTGACCTGGATAAACCTTTGCTGACCTGGATAAACCTTTGCTGACCTGGATAAACATTTGCTGACCTGGATAAACCTTTGCTGACCTGGATAAACCTTTGCTGACCTGGATAAACCTTTGCTGACTTGGATAAACCTTCGCTGACTTGGATAAACCTTTGCTGACCTGAAACACACGCTCCTGACCTGAAACACTCGCTCCTGACCTGGCATAAACCCTTTCCTCCCCTCCTTCCCTCCCTGTGGGCTCCCCATAACACTCACTCTCCCCTCACCTGAGCGACCTTGCCCTGTGCGTACGCCCCCATGCCTGTGACCCTCCTTCCTGCTGCTGTTTTCACTGCCTCAAAGGTCCCCTTCCGTTTCTCTCTCGCCTCAAAGGCCCCCTCTCACTCCTCTCTCACCTCACCTGAGCAGCCTTGCTCTGTGCGTATGCTCCCATGCCTGTGAACCTCCTTCCTGCTGCTGCTTTCACTGACCTTTGAAAGGTCCCGAAGTTCCCCTTTTTTTCTCCTCTCTCCCCCCTCATTAGTCCCCTCTTCTCCCCTTCTCCCCTCACCTCACCTGAGCAGCCTTGCCCTGTGCGTATGCCCCCATGCCTGTCAACCTCCTGCCTGCTGCTCTCAGCCTCCTGCCAAGCACTGGCAGGGGAGGAGATGAGAGAGGGGGGAGGAGAGAGACGAGAGAAAAAGAGGGAAAAACTAAAGAAAGAGAGAAAAAAGAGAGGTAGCAGAGGGAGGAGAGATGAGCGAGAAAGAGAACAGAAGAAAGAGAGAGGTGGGAGAGGGAGGAGAGCATCACTGCAGCTGCCTGTGAGCGTCCTGCCTGCTGCTCTCAGCCTCGCTAGGGAGGAGAGAGGGGGGAAGAAAGAAGAGAGAAAGAAAACCAAGAAAGGTGAGAGGTGGGAGAGGGAGGAAAGCATAATTGAGTTGCCTGTGAACCGCCTACCTGCTGCTCTCAGCCTCCTGCCCTGCATTGACAGGGGAGCAGACGAAAGGGGGGGAAAGAGAAAGAAGAGAGAGAAAAGAAGAGAAACAAGAGAGAGGTGGCAGAGGGAGGAGAAGATGGGCGTGCGGGAGTGGGAGAGGGAGGGTGAAGGTGTGGTTGGGAGGTGGGATGGTGAGTGAACAAGGGAATCGCCAAGCATCGGCAACGAAGGGATGGGAATTGCCAAGCATCGGCAACGAAGGGAAACGAAGGGATGGGAATTGCCAAGCACTAGTACGATTCTTAAGGCGCCTTTTTGAGACGTCTCAAAAGTCGCACTAGTACGATATTTGAGGCGCCTTTTGAGACGTCTCAAAAGTCGCACTAGTACGATTTTTGAGGCGCCTACAAAATCGTCTGGTTGGGAGGCGGGATGGTGAGTGAACAAGGGAAGTGCCAAGCACTAGCATTACTACTCTTCCACTCCCCCCTCCCTTCTTTTTCCCGCTTTCCCTCTTCAATTGACCTCCCCCATCCTCTCCCCTTCCTCGCCCCCTTGTCCTGCCCCCCTCTTACCGCCCCCCCTGCCCTCCCCGATCCTCCCTCCATCCCTTACCCGCCCGTTCTCTTCCTCCAGGGGGAAGCTTCGCAGCAGCATCCTTGAGCCCAGCCACAGCAGCAGCGGCAGCAGCAGGGGCGCCCTGTGAGGCCGTGAGGACGGCTGTGAGGGCGGAGAGGGCTGCTGACACTGCTGGCCCGCACTGGATGGGGGTGAGGGGGAGGGAACGGAGGGCAGCAGGAGGGTATAAGAGCACGAGAAGAAAACAGCAGCAGCAGCAGCAGCAGCAGCAGCAGCAGCAGGAGCAGCAGCAGCAGCAGCAGCAGCAGCAGCAGCAGCAGCAGCAGCAGCAGCAGCAGCAGCAGCAGCAGCAGCAGCAGCAGCAGCAGCAGCAGCAGCAGCAGCAGCAGCAGCAGCAGCAGGAGCAGCAGGGGCGCCATCTGAAGGCGTGAGGGCGGAGAGGGCTGCTGACACTGCTGGCCCGCACTGGGTAAAACAAAAGAGGAGAGGAGCGAGGGGGAAGCAGAGGAGAGCACAGGGGGGGATGGGAAGACACGTCATGGCAGCAGCAGCATCAGCAGGAGCGGCCTCTGAGTCCGTGAGAGCTGTTGAAGAGCGGACGGGGCTGCTGACACTGCTGGTCCGCACTGGGTGGGGGAAAGAGGAGGACAATGGGGGCAGCAAGCGGGTATGGGAGCACGTGAAGGCAGCAGCAGGAGCGCCCTCTGAAGCCGTGAGGGCCGCTGTGGGGGCGGTGAGGGCTGCTGACAGTGCTGGTCCGCACTGGGAGGAGGTGGGGGGGAGGGGAGTGGGAGGGGAGTGGGAGGAAGTTAGCAGGGGAGTGGGGGAGGAGTAGGAGGTGAGGAAAAGATGGGGGCGGTTTTTGAGGGGACTCAAAACACGGAAGAGTCGGAGGGGAGGAAAAGATGGGGGCGGATGTTGAGTCGACTCAGAACACGGAAGAGTGGGAAGGGAGGAAAAGATGGGGGCGGATGAAAGCCGTGAGAGCGGTTGTGAGCGTGGAGAGGGCTGCTGACGCTGCTGGGCCACACTGGGTTCTTAGTCAACCTGCAACAGCCATGGCCACACACGAAAAGATTTGTTTTAAAACGTTTCAAAAACAAAACATTTATCATGTGGATGGTGACGCTGGTGGGCCACACTGGGTACAACAAAGTCCGCCCTCATCAGCCTGTTTTTGAGTCGACTCAAAAACACACTGGGTACAAAGTCCACCCTCAACAGCCACAACCACACGTTGTCACTAATTGGCTCACCCATCGTCCCTCCTCCCGCCCCCCCCCCCCCCTTTCACTGGCCATGTTCCCGCCCTCCTCCTCCCACGCACCTCTGCAGAGAAGAGGCATTCCCGATGGTGAGATCAAACACTGAGACCTCTAGCTGATAGTATCAGGGATAGGCAAATTCTGAGTCGACTCAAAAATAGTATGGGGGACAGGCAGACCGTCCTCCTGTCTTCCCCTTCCATCTCTCCCCCCATTTCCCCCTCTGCTCCCCCCTTCCCCCCCCTCTCCCTCCTCCCACGCACCTCGGCACAGACATTCCCGTTGGTGAAATCGAACGCTGAGACCTCGAGCTGATGGGGGAGCAGGCAAACCCTCCTCCTGACTTCCCCTTCCGTCTGTTCCTCCCCCCGTCCCCTCATCTGTTCCCTCCCTTCCCCTCATCCCTCCCCCCACCCCTCCCCCCACCCCTCCCTCAACCCACGCACCTCGGCAGAGACATTCCCGTTGGTGAGATCGAACACTGCGTCCTCGAGCTGATACAGAAGCAACAAAGGGGGGGGGGGGGGGGGGGGGGAAAGGAGGGGGAGAAGGGGGGGAGGGGGAAGGGGGGGGCCGAGGGGGGAAAGGGAGAAATCTGAGGCAGCATTCCCGTTGGTGAGATCGAACACTGCGTCCTCGAGCTGATGGGGGAGCAGCAGAGGAGGGAGCAGCAGAGGAAGGAGCAGCAGAGGAGGGAGCAGCAGAGGAGGGAGCAGTAGAGGAGGGAGCAGCAGGGGGTGGGAAAGGTAAGGGAATGGGGAGGAGAAGCGAACTGATGACGTGACAGCAAATTTATTATTTAAAGGCTAAGGCCAGGTCTGAATGTGCAGGGAGGTCAAATCAGTTGATCTGCACTCTTCTTTCCCCAGAACCACACACATCATCAACCCCTCCCCCCCCTCCTCCCCATTGCCCTCTTCCCCCCAAACCTGTTCCACCCCTCGCCCCATCTCCGCACATTCCCCTGACCCCTGTTTTCCCCCGCTACCCGGATCCACTTAAAAGGTATCCCCGCTACTCGGATCCACTTAAAAGGTATCCCCGCTACTCGGATCCACTTAAAAGGTATCCCCGCTACTCGGATCCACTTAAAAGGTATCCCCGCTACTCGGATCCACTTAAAAGGTATCCCCGCTATACTCACATCCACTCGGAGGTCCCGAGGGAGCGAAGAGAAGAAGTCCGCGTCTAGAGACGCGAGGGACGACTGGGGGAAGGGGGAAAAAGGGGAAAGGGGTGAAGGGGGAAAGGGGTGAAGAGGGAAAGGGGTGAAGGGGGAAAAGGGGGGAAGGGAGGAAGGGGGAAGGAGGGGGGAGGGGGAAGCGAGGTCCCGAGGGGGCGAGGAGAAGAAGTCCGCGTCTAGAGACGCGAAGGACGACTGGTGGAAGGGGAAAAAGGGGAGAGGCGGAAGTGGAGGGCGGGGGGAGCGGAGGGAGGGCGTTGCACGGAAAGGGGGTGAAGGACGAGTGGGGGGATTGGGGGGCCGGGGAAGGCACGTGGGAGAACGGGGGAGATTGCGGGGGAGAGGAGGGCGCAGTTTGGTTTGGAGGACAGGCGCGCGGGGGGAAAGCGGAAGTGCAATTGAAAGGGTGCCTCTCAACGAATTTGTACAGCCTGTTCCCCTGCGCGCATTCCCCTGCGTGCATTCCCCTGCGCCTGACCATCTGCGCCCGTTCCCCTGCGCCTGACCATCTGCGCCCGTTCCCCTGCGCCTGACCATCTGCTCCCGTTCCCCTGCGCCTGAACATCTGCGCCCGTTCCCCTGCCTGACCACCTGCGCCCGTTCCCCTGCGCCTGACCACCTGCGCCCGTTCCCCTGCGCCTGCTCCGCGCGTGCTCCGCGCCTGGTCCATGACTGTCCCCTTCGCCTCAGACCCACCTGTAGAGTTTTGAACGCAGCGCCTTCCGTGCTTGCCTGAGCTGGCAGCGACGCATCCGATTGGCTCGCGCTGCACCTGACGTCAGCACGGTGACACCTGCTGCTAAATCCGTTCGAATCGTTACAAAATGCACGTCGAGATGTACGCGGTAATAAATGAACCGTTTGAATGCGGGCGCCACCACCACGAGCACTGACGCTTTTGAGCGCGGAAACGCAGGGTACGCCGCATGATGCGCCAAGTTTCGCACGCAGCGAAAGAGACAAATGCGGAGACATGGCGGAACAATTACGACGAGTGAAGGATCGTAGTTAGGATACAAGGTTCCGCACGGTGCTGACAGGAGAGCGGTTATCGCGCCAGGATGTTATGAGCATGTGATTATGCCTGTGACACTTCAGAGAGGTCTCAGAATCGTGGGCTGCAGCCTAAGCGCCAGCATTTTACAGTAGAATCTCCCAATGTTCGAATGTTCATAGAATCTCCCAGTGTTCGAATGTTCCAAATGTGTCGTCCAATCAAGAGTTCAACTTTGGAATGTTCGACACGCAGGATTCGGGATAATACAGCGTGGATGTAGCCAGTAATATAGGGACGCGTGACGTCAGCACATGCCGCCCCACGGGTCCTGGCACAAAGGGATTTCGGGGCAAATCCGAAAACCCTCTGAATCCCTCAGGTCACCCCGAAAATCCCTCCTAACCAGGCGAAAAATCCCTCCGAATCCCTCCGAAAAATCCCTACTATTGCAATTTCGGGGACATTTATCGAGCAGTGCTCGACGAGCATTGGCCAATCGCCATCGAGCACCGTGCACTCCCGACAAGACGGGTTACAGCGCCTGTCGTCGCCATCGACGTCGCCTGACAGGCCGCTCTGTCGGTCGACGTGAGTGGTAATGGGTTTTGCAACCGGCTGACTGTCACAATCGACGGCGCCGTCAAGTGCGGTCAACTGATCACTTTGGCGGTCGAGCGAGACGTCGCTGTTGGACGGGCGACAGGTTACGTAGTCGTAATCAAAGGGGTCACGTCAAAAGATGACGGCCACGTCAAAGGCCAAGGCCTTGAGGACACCTGTAAGGGAAGGGTTATCAGCCCAACAACGGTATAAATGAAATCCTAAACTGGGAGCAACATTAACATTTTTTTGTCTGTTAGGCCAACGCTACGGCAATGAGAACTTTCGGGTAGGCACTTATGGAGAACGATCCGTCGAGGACAACGCCTTTCCGGCAGGCAGCGGTAGGACCGCTTCCTGTCGACGTTGAAACCATCTCGACACAACCCCCTAGGACGTCACAAGCCATACCAGGCTCGACACCGCCACCCTCGACGTCACGAGCCATACCGGGCTCGATAGCTCCACCCTCGACGTCACGAGCCATACCAGGCTCGACAGCTCCACACTCGACGTCACGAGCCATACCGGTATCAGCAGCGCCACCCTCAACGTCACGAGCCATACCGGTAGTGGTTCAGCCGGTTGCGACGAACCAACGCTCGACGGACCGTGCCGTCAATGTCGAAGTGGGGGGGGCACCGACCGAAGTCCCTTCGACGGCGCAATCCATACATGTAGTACTAGAACCGATTTCCACAACAACCCCTCCCTCAACATCGGAAGCGACAAACCAGCCGTCATCATCATCGGCACCACACCGTTCGACAACACCAACGGAACCAGTAGTCGCTGTCCTGAGCTCGACTGGTGGACGACGTAGGAGAAGGGGTACGGGTGTTTCGACTGAGGTTAGGCCACCACCCCCAGCCGCTTCGCGGGCCACTCCCGCTGCGTCTATGCGCTCATCGAAAAGACCCAGCAAAGCGGACTTAGCCAGCCACGTCCCTGCAGAGACGAATGATGACGACGATGAGCCGGAGAACAGCCCGAGGCGGACGATGTCGAAGAGGTGGACCCTTTGCGTGAGGTGGACCCTTTGCGCCCTGTCACGGCAAATATATCACAAGAGGAGGCAGCCCACATTCTCGGTGACGAACAGGGCGAAGAAAATCCGTACTTGGCGTCGGGAACACTCAAAAGTGCGATTCACCGTTGTCACCTTCCGCTGCTGGCAATCGACCAGGATTCCACTCGGCCAAACTACGTCTCGGGTTTCATGCATTTCAAGGCTTGGGCCTGTGCAACCCTGGCGCCCGGAAAAAACAACAGAGTGCCGGTCGAGGAGCAGGTGATCAACGAGGACGAGGTCGGGAGAGAGATCGGCAAGGATTTAGGGAAGGGGTGGAGGGCGACGCTCCTTAACGAGGAGCACCTGCATGGGCCTTGGACGTCGAAATGGCGCTTGCAGGCTTACGTTGAGTACATGTCGACGGAAACAGATGAACAGGTGGCTTCCTTGGATACCGGGCGGACCAGAGTAGCGGGATGGAAGCCGAAAAAATGCACCCCACCGATGATGCTGGCGCGCCTAACTGCACTAGGGTGCTTGTGCAAAGTAGAGGCCATACTTTTCGACGAACCACTCACAAAACCCATGGACGACATCACCGAAGCTAGGCAGCTACTAGCGGTCAAGCTGCAACAACTGCACGACTTTCAGTTCGAGTAAGTACGCTTCCCTACCCCGTCGGCTACAACTTCTCACTCACTTTCTCACATATGAATTGTTGTATCTGCCCACTCTATGCAGGAGGTGCGTCGACCCACACTGTGGCTCGCTCGACGATGTCTACACGGAGGAGCAGTTCCGCATTCTCGTTTCAGACATCCTGCCGCACTGGGCCAAGGTGTACTTCGGGTCGTCGATGGCGTACCTCAGTCTGCCGCTATGGAAGGCCTTGGCTGTGAGGGTGATGATCCTGATGGCGCATCACATGCTGGGCAGGGGGATCAGCATCCGTACGATCCGCTACTGCAACATGTTCACTCACGTCCTTCTGCCCATCACGAACAGCCCGGGGGAATCATCGATCCTCGTTCTCGTGGTCGCTTATCGCAATTCGAAGACCGCCAAAGACAACAAGCTCGGCCATCTGTACTTGACTCGACACATGGACTTCCAGCAGTGCGGCTTTGGAGCAGTTTTCCTCTGGCTACACTTCCTTTTCGACCTCGTGCCACTCTACTACAACAATGCGAATATCGTGTCCCTCTTGATTTTTTCCGACCCGGAGGCCTGGTCGAAGAAACACCTGTTCTTCGCCCTCTTCGACAAAGAGAAGACACAGATGCCGTACCCGACGCACAACAAATGGGTGACATGGGCGATGAATAGCGCGGCGTGGATCCTGTCGAAAGTCACGCACATCTTTCGACGGTCTGTGGCACAGATCCTCGCGGACAAGAACTTAGACCTCGACACCATCGCACAGCTGGGTCAATGGGACATGAACGAGATGCGCAGGTTATACGTCATAGGCATCCCGCGCCCGGCCATCCAGATGCAAGCGGGTTTCTCGCAGGAACCAAGCGACTATTACAACGGAAGATCGAAGACCAAAGTGCTCTCGAAGGTCCTGAAGGCTATCGAGGAGCACATATTTCCTAAGGCGGAGCTGTGGCTCATCGAGGTATGTATCTGTCGAGCACTTGGCGTCTTCGTCGAACGCAAGTTTTGCTCGTCTATCAATCTCTCGATGTCACCCCGTTCGTTTATGTTCAGGCCCAGGAGTGGAACAACAAGCAGGACAAGGAACATATGTACTACGCAGCGAAGAGCTTCTTGGAGGCACTGCTAGCTGCCCGAATGCCCATCGCAGAGGATCTTGCGATGTACTACGTACATTGTGAGGACCACCCCTTCGACGGGGTCAGCGTTTGTGACTGCGAGTGTCACCCTTACGCCCAGATGTTGGGTTTGTGCAAGGACGAAGATTTCAAAAAATGGGCGCTCGACGTGTACATGCTCGACAAGTACGGCATCGAGATGTGGACCAACCCCACGATGTCGAGAGCAACGGTAAGATGGTCCTTCCAAAACTATAAGCGACGACTTTGCATCAGCCCACTGACTGCACGTGTTCTTGTGTGCAGGACGTATCCTCTCACCTCAACACCAAGCACCTCATCACGCAACTTCGGGCCGAGATCAACCTCCACAAGGAGGAGGGAGGGAAAAAACAAATCCAGGTCAACCACCTCGAGAAGCAGGTCGAGTCATTGGAGCGGGAGAAGAGCTTGATGAAGGCAGAGTTGGAGGCGAAGACAGAGGCGTTCGCGCAACTATAGAAAGCGTTCGACGCATTGAAGAATACCGCGGCGACAAGCGCAGCTGCAAATGTGGGGGAGAGCGAGAGCGTGCCGCAGATGGCGACCGAGGAAGCCACCCCGGCTCCACAGCAAGCCTAACAAGCAACGCCCTCTCGACATAGCGTGGCCAGCCAGCTCGACCAGACATTCTTCGACGCGGTGGTGTGGCCGTGGTGCAATTGCGAGACCGTACGGAAGGCATGGTCATACTGGGACGGGCCAAGCCCACTGAACAACGGGCATAGTCTTCGACAAGCTTATAAGAGGGGCTTCGCCGTCAAGTTCTGCAAGTTCACACCGACTCCACCCCCCGTAACCCCCGAAAAGGAGCCCCAGCCAAAAGAAATTCCACCAACCGCAAAAGCTATCGAGACGAAATTGTGGAAAATGGAGGCTGTCATGAAGGCCGTCGAGCATTTCCGGATCGACGACAGCACCGCGGCTACGTCGACGGTCATCGAAAAGCTGGACTCAATTGTGAAGGACCACTCGATCAACATGCTTTCGGAGGGCATCGCTCTCAAGGAGGATTCTGGGAGGCAGCTCAAGAAAAGGCGTAAAGTCGCGTCTGCGGAGAAAAACCGGAAGGACAAACAACGCCTCAGAATCAATCTGGAGCTCATTCGCGTCGAGCTCCGAACCACTGAATGGGCGGAGAAGGTGTTTGGCAAGGAGAAATGGAAAGAGTTCACAGGAACAACTGGCGCGCGGCCTAGTTCGACGGGCAACCGTGAAGCGGGTGGAACCTAGTGTAGGTTGTTCTTTTAGGGTTTATATGGCATTTCCCCCGTATGCTTGTTGTGAGACCATCTCGACAAGATGAACCAATTGAGCATTATCAAAAAAATCAAGTCAAAGCAATGAAGCCAAAACACATAAGGTCGAAACAGCTCTCGAAACAACAAACACATCTGTCGAATGATGCAAAAAACCCCACGCAATGCACCCGCCTATACTACTCCCCTTGCCCGCCTGTTTCCGCCTCTGTAGCATCCTCGTCGCCCAGCTTCACCTTGCTCTTTTCTTCTGGCATAGCCATGCTCCCATAGCCCGCGTCCTCCAGCAATCGGACAGCAAATCGACAGCAGCAGCATTGCGTACAGACTTGTGCTGCCACGCGCACCATCTGCAACAGGTTGGCGTCAGTCGAGCCGAGGCCTTGGGGAGCCGACGCATATAGCAGATCGGGCCACTGTTTGGCCGGGAACGTCTTGCCGACGTGCAAAAGTACGGACACGAGCGCGGCCATGGCAGCCGCACTAGCCCGTGTCGCCATATCCAGGGCGCAGAGCGTTGCGTTTGCGGCAGCTAGGGCATCCTTCTTAATATCTTCCCTCGACAACTTCCTGCAGGCCGCCCACAAGCTTGCCACAGTTGTTGCGACGGCCATCATGTGCGCAGTCCCGTGCATTTTTTCGGGACCGGATAAATCAGGTTCACGTGCTTCTGGCCAAACATCGCAACCTTCCCAATCGCCGTGCATATCGCAATTCCCCAGTCAGTTCCGGCTCTCACTTCCGTATTTGCCGTCGCCAGCAGCGACTGGAAACTGCAAATCGAAACAAATGCGTTAGTCAGACGGCACGACTTCGACAGGAAATACGACATCACTTCGACGGAAAGAACAAAACCGCTACGACAGTCAAAATACAGGAATTTGACAGAACTCACTCTTCGAAACGACATTCCCCTTGTTCTTGCGCCACGCTCCAAACGCCGGTGGGCATACCAGTGGCTGCATCGAGATAGACCTTCCAGAACTTCTCATCCTGTGCCGTGAACCCTTCGCACTCCTTAAGGTCTATGTCGGGGAAGTACACGTGCAACAAAACTTTTGGTCCGCCTCCGTTTCAAAAGTGCCCAGGAACCGCTTCCTCGAGCCTACGGTCTGCTCGGAAACCGGCTTCCCCTTCCGCAACATCTTGCCCGATCCTTTGAAGGGAGCTTTGCAGCCTCTCGTCTTGCATTGGTCGTCTGGCGGAGGAGGTGGGGCAAAGCCGATCACCTTGGACTTCTTCGACTTCTCGTGTCGAGCAGCAACGACGGTAGACGCCTTCTCGACATGAGCTTGGCCAAGGAGGCTGCCCAGCTCCACCATGTCACTGCGCTCTGTTGCCTCTGCAGTGCGCTTCGTCGAATTCGTCATAGCCTGCCTTTTCTTCGACACAGAAGGGGACGTTGGCCTCAGACCAGGAGGAGGAGAACCCGGTTCGCTAAGGCAGACTTCGCCTAGCACGGACGACGGCCTCTTTCCCACAGGCTCGACAGGACGGCCAACAATACTGAGCTGCGCAGCTGAGTCGGCCTTTGTCTTCGACAGCAACCCATCAGCGACGATGACCTGGCTGGGAGCACCCCGTTTCTCCCTCGCTCCTTTCCCCGCAGCGCCGCCGGACGGGGTAGGGGCACCTCGATTTTCCATGGCTCCTTTCCTGGCTCAGGCGTCGGATTCGATTGGGGCACCGCTTTTCTCCCCCGCAACCACTCCTTTCCCACCCTTTTTCCCGAGGCCCTGCAGGATGTCCCGCAGCGGAGCAAAAGCATCAGGCGGAGGCTTCGGTGCCGCTTCAAAGGTCTTCTGAAGGGGCGATTGGTCGAGTACGATGACCTCCTTGTCCTCGACAGACTTGCCGACGGTCTGACGGGCACGCGACGGTGGAGATGCTACCGGGCTGCCGATATTTCCTCCCACCGAAGAAGAAGGAGGAACCGAGCACTCATGAACTCGACGCTCAACCCCGTTGCGAACACCAGCCACCCCCTCCTTGTGACGCAACCTCGCTGACGGGCCCGCCGAGCCCCGAAACCCTCTCGACATTGCTTCGGTGAGGACTTCCAATCTGCCAGCTTTAGCTCCTTGGTAGCCTTCTCTCACAACGTCCTTCAGCTCCTTCATGCTCTTGGGTGGGAGGGTGGAGTAGAACAAGTCCTCCTTGACGGCTTTCTCAAGACCTTTCATGACTGAAGCAACCAGCCACTCCTCAACAAGCTTGATCTGCTTCTCGACGGCATCGTCGCTCGCTTTTGTGAAAGCGGCTGCCACCCCCTCGATGATTTTCACGCTCATCTCGTCGAGCTTCGTGCGCGTCCCTTCCAACAGCTTCCTCTCCTCCGTGACACCGTTTACGGCGTCGCCGCACTGCTTCAGCGTGCTCTTCGATGACTCCGAAATCATATTCCAGGCCGTCCGAAAATCCCCAGCAAGCTTCGACGACTCCTTACTGCAACCTGTCGCTCATGCGCAGCCTCCCCACCCTCCTGCTCCTGCCCTCCCGCCCCACCCTCTTGCGCTGCCGCCACACCCTCCTGTTGCTGCCCTCCGACCCCACCCTCCTGCGCAGCCGCCCCGCCCTCCTGCTGCTGCACTCCTGCCCCACCCTCTTGCGCAGCTGCTCCGCCCTCCTGCTCCTCGACAGCCCCATCGTCCCCCGTCGCCTGCTGCCCGATATGCTTCACCCGCTCATCCACCCGCTCCCCGAGCGCCACTCCGTGCTCCTCCGTACGCTCCGTCCCACCTGGATGTTCTCCTGCGCCTGCGCCGTCATGCTCGACTGACTCATCGCTCGAGCTCGAGCTCGAGCTCGATTCCGAGCTCGAGCCCTCCTGCTCGTTCGCATTGCCGCCCGGGCCGCTCACCCCGTGCTGAGCTTGCCTCGATGTATCCTCCTCGATCTTCTCCTCCTCCTCGTAGCTGTACTCAAGCAAGACGCGCGCCGTCCCCTCGCCTCCTCCCTTATGTTCGGCACCCCCTCCTACTCCTACTCCCTCCGCCACCTCTTCTATCCTTTTCCAAAATAGCTTGACCATGAACGACGGAAGCATACCTGGGCCAAGGCTCGTTCTCCCGAGCATCACGAGGTCGCCCTGTCGAGGCTGCAGGATGAAATTGTCCCAGTTCGACAGAATCCGCCGCACCCCATGCACGACACGAGCTGCCGTGCCGGGTTCATTGGGGCTTGTCAGGGCCGTCGTTGTCTGCGGCGGGTATAAAACACACGTAAGCGACAGAACAAAATGCTCGACGAAAACATGCAGGACTAAGGGTAAGGGTTGGCTTACCAGATGATCGAAACTCGTGATCATGTCCAGGTGCCGGTCGATGTCGGCCATCACCCCCTGCTCGTGCTCGGTCGCAACTTGCTGGGTCATCGCGTACTCGGCGCGAAGCTGCCTCTTCATCCAACTGCAAAGCAACGGACACGATAGTAAGAGATTGTCGAGAACGGCAAGTCGACAGCAGGGTGGCAAATCGGTCACTCACACAAGAACTTCATACGCCAGCGAAGATTGGTGGTTCACCACGGGAAACCTATATTTCGAATCGAAGTGCATCATTCGAGTTTGACAGCCACGGTGCCTCGGAGCCAGCAGATCGTCGGGGCGCGATACCACAAACAGGCTCGAATGGGAGAACGGTGCCACATTCAGGCTGCATGCAGAGCGAATGCTGTGAAAATGAACGAGGAATGAAATGACTAAGGGAAAGTTGGGTACAAGTACAAACCCTAGAAAGCTGTACCCCATATGTGCTACCCCACTATAGCCTACAGCAGCTAAGTCATATAAATCTGACACACCCCCATAGGCAAAGTGGGGGAGGACAAGGGGTCACAAGACGAGTCAAGCAAAGCAAAGCAAGCTCAGGGTGGATCACAACGTCACCACACATTCCGAGCACAAGTTCAAGGCCACAAGGCCAGTTCATATGCAGGATTACATATATATATATATAAGGCTAAACAAGCAAGAGCAGGTGTATATATATATGTAACAGTACAAACAAGGTCAAGGGGTGAGCAAGTGAGGCAAGGTAGGCACAAGACCCAGCTGAGTACAGAAGCGCTGATGATCACAAGGCGCAAGTGCCTTGGTGAAGATATCAGCAGTGTTGGCCTGAGAGGCCACGTACGCAAGGCGTAGCTGACAACGCTGCTGTAGCTCACGAGCAAGGAAGTAGCGAAGAGCAATGTGCTTCATTCTGTGCTCCAGTCTCTGCTCCCGACACAAGGCCAGCATGGCCTTGTTGTCTACGTACAGCACTGGAGGAGAACGAGGCGGCTCTCCGAGGTCAGTCAGCAGGTAGGTGAGCCAGCGAAGCTCCTGTGCAGCCATGGCCCCTGCGTAGATCTCAGCCTCACAACTGGAGCCGAGAACAGAAGACGAGCGGGTAGCCCGCCACGAGACAGAGCCGGAACCAAGGCTGAAGGTGTAACCCTGTGACGACCGCTGCGTAGCCTGGCCGTCAGCCCAAGAAGCGTCTGCGTGCCCAGTGAGGACCACTGGACTCTGCCCTCCAAGCACAAGCCCCATGCCCGACGTACTGCACAAGTAGCGTAACACCCTCTTCGCTGCAGCCATGTGCTCCGGTCTGTGTCTCCCAGGAGCAACATAGCGTGCGAGAATGCTAAGAGGGTATGCAAGGTCAGGTCGAGTGCAGGTCATCAGGTACATGAGGCAGCCAACAAGCTCTGGGTACGGGCCACTCGACTCTACGGACTCATCCGAAGGCAGAGCTGAGAGCGAGTGGCGAGTAGGCAGAGGAGTGGCCTGAGGCGAGGATTACGTGAAGCCGAAGCGCTGAAGGACCTGCTGCACCATGTGTGACTGAGTAAGGGTAATGGTGCGGCGTTCTCTGTCCCGGGTGATCTGCAAGCCAAGGTAGCTGCGCAGTTCACCCAGGTCTGTGCACGTGTGTCTCTTCTGTAGCTCGGACTTCACGTGGGCGAGTCCAGCAGTGTCAGCTGTGGCAAAGACCAAGTCGTCGACGTACACGAGGATGTAGAACGGCGGCAAAGAAGTGTCGGTGCGCAGAAACAGCGACGGGTCGGCAGTAGAGGGAGCAAACCCAAGAGCCGCAAGCGTAGTCCTCAGTGTGTCGTGCCACTCACGCGGTGCCTGGCGGAGACCGTAGACTGGCCGCCGGAGGCTCCACTGGGTGCCAGGAGGAAAAGTCCCAGTGAAGCCAAGTGGGCGGCGCAGCCAGATCTCCTCGTGCAGGCTGCCCTGCAAGAAAGCAGTGCTGAAGTCAAGAGAGTGTAGCTCGTAGTCACGGTGAGCAGCTATGTGCAGCAGTACCCGAAGAGTGGTCATCTTCGGGGTGGGAGAGAAGGTCTGAAAGTAGTCAACTCCCTTCCGCTGACTGAAGCCACGAGCCACGTAACGCGCCTTGAAGACAGGCGGAGAACCCGGCGGCCGCTTCACCCTGAAAATCCACATGCCACTGACGATGTTCGCCCCAGGCGGGGGAACCTCGTCAACGTAGGTGCCTGTGGACTTCCAGGAAGCCATCTCTGCGTCCATAGCTGCCTGCCACTGAGAGGAGTAGGGACCCTCTATCGCCTCCGCGTAAGAGCGCGGAGTCGGGATGTCAAGTGCATCCGGGTCTCCCTCAGGGGTAAGCAGTACGGACACGAGATGAGGTGAAGCAGCAGCCAAACACTGGAACTCCTCCTGTCTGTCCTCAAGGACGTCCGTGCCAAGGGCACACTCACCCCCGACGGACGGAGGACAGACAGACTCAGACCCAGCAACAAGACTAGCAGCGTAGTCTAGACGACAGCGAGCAGCAAAGTCGACGAGCTCAGCAACTAGGGCAGACGCAGCAGTGGACTCAAAGGAAGGGTCAGTGACAACAGTAGCAAGGAGACGCGTGACAGTCGGACTGGCAGCACGAAGGGAGTCCGACTCCGGGTCAGCAAGAGCAGGAAGAGAGGACCCAGGAGGAGAAGGCAAAGGGGCACGCAGAGGAGCAGTGGACGGACGGAGAGACATCCGGTGCGTGCCGGGCACAGGGGGAGGACGCTGACGCGAACCACGACCACTAGCGCGAGCAGCACGGACAGGCGACGCAGGACGAGACGCAGGCTCACGACGCTCAGCAAGACCTCCAGTAGGACCAGTGTAGGGAGAAGGAGCAGGCAGTGGGGAGGCCGGCTGTAACTGTAACTGTGACGGGACAGGCTGTGGACACTCTAAGGGAGGAGGAGGACCAGTAGAAGGCGGGAGACCAAGAACCTGCTCAAGAAGCGGAACGAAATACGGCCGAGGCCGCGCAGCGACTCCAGACACAGCAGGGACAGCACCAGTGGTAGCACCAGCGCCAGCAGCACCTCCAGCTCCAGTACCCCCAGCAGCTCCAGTGGCTCCAGGACCTCCAGCAGCACCAGTAGCACCCCCAGTAGGACCGCCTCCAGGACCGCCAGCAGTACCCTCAGCGCCAACACCCTCAGCAGCTCCAGCTCCGGTAGTACCCGCAGGCCCAGCAGCTCCAGTACTCCCAGTACGAGCACCTCCGGGACCCGTGGCACCAGCACCCTCAGCAGCCGAAGAACCTCCAGCTCCAGCAGCATGCCTCCAGCGCCGGGCAAACCACTCACGCACCTCCTGTGGAGAGAGTGGCTCCCGTCTAGACGGAGCACCCAGAGAACCTCCAGGCCCAGCACCGCCAGACGCCACACGAGCAGGCCCAGCTCCCTCAGGCTCCGCACCCCCAGGCCCAGCACCTCCAGGCGTAGCACCCCCAGGCTCAGCACCCCAAGTCGTAGCACCCCCAGGCTCAGCACCCCCAGACTCAGCACCCCCAGGCTCAGCACCCCCAGTCGTAGCACCCGCAGGCTCAGCACCCCCAGGCTCAGCACCCCCAGGCGTAGCACCCACACGCTCAGCACCCCCAGAGTCAGCACCCCCAGGCTCAGCACCCCCAGCAGCACCAGAGTCACCAGCGACCTCCACAGGCTCGACTGCGTCTACCTGGGACACACCTGAAGGGGCAGGACCCTGAGGGGGAAGGGGGTCTACCGGGGGGGGACCTGGCACAAGGAAGAGCGGAGGCGGGGGGAGGGACGGAGTGCGGTAGGGGAAGAGACGGTAGTAGGGGACCGACTCGTCAAACGTGACGTCCTGGGAGGACAGAACACGGCGAGAGGTGGGGTGGTAGAACTGCTACCCTGGCGCGTCAGGGGGGAAGCCAAGGAAGACGCAGGGAGCAGCACGAGGGGACAGCTTGTCCGCAGACAAGTCGCGGACAAACGCCCGAGATCCCCAGACACGGAACGCAGATGCATCGCCAACCTTCCCCGTCCACAGCAAAGCTGGGGAGGTCTCCGGCATGGAGACCCTGGGCTGAAGGTTGATCTGATGCGCCGCGTACCGAACCGCAAACGGCCACAGAAAATGGGGGGGAGCCGCATGCATCATGGACGTACGGGCGACGTCCATGACCATGCCAATGCGGCGCTCAGCAATCCCATTTTGCTGTGGAGAGTCCGGAAGCGTGAAGGTCTGGCGGATGCCTCGTGCACGACAGTAGGCTCGCAGAAGGCCAGAGGAGAACTCTCCGCCTCTGTCAGAGTGCAGACGCAGAACAGGAAAGTCCGAGCCGAAACTCTCTCTGAGCTGGAGACGAGCTGCGCGGATCCAGTCGATCAACACCTCAGTGACATCACCCTTGCTGCGCAAGGGGAAGACTGTGGTGTAACGCGAGTAGTCGTCAACCACCAGCAGGAAGTAGCGCTCGTGACCCTGTCCACGGACGCGGGCCGGGGCCCACACGTCCATGTGAAGCGTCTGCAGCGGGGCCTCTGTCGGAGGAAACTGGGAGGAGTGAGGGGCAGCACGCTGCCGCCCCTCGACACAGGGGACGCAGGTAGGGGCAGGCCCCGGAGGAAGAGGAGGGAGGGACTGGGGAAGACCAGAGACAAGGACACTGGAGGCCATGCCTCGGAGACGAGGCAGGGAGGGGTGACCAAGGCGGTGGTGCCAGAGGAGAGTCTCGTGAGACAGGAGGCGACACGAGCAGGGGGCAGACTCAGGACCAGACCTGG